CACGCCTGAAAAACACGACTGTCGGAATGCTTCGCGAGAGTTGCTGCTGTGGGGATGCTGATGGTCTCCTCCTCCCCCGTGAACCGCCAGCCCCCCAAAAAAGGGTGGGCCGCTCGGGCGTTTATACAAGACGCCAAAATTGAAACATTCCTGCAGACCGCCTCTGCAGGAATTGAGGCGCAGCCCCTCCCGCAGCCGCACTGCGGCTGCGCCAGCGGGCGCGGGGGGGCGGCGGTGGCGCCAACGCGCAGTTGGTAGCTGTCCTCCTCCTCCCCCACCATCATAGCGATGATGACAATGATGAGCATCCTACGATGATGAGGCCCAGGGTCCCGTCCCAGAGTCTCGGGCCCCGCCCTAGGCCGCGGGCCAGGCCCCCTCCCCCCATCGACTCTCAACTGCGCCCGTGTTATATATATACATATACATATATATGTATATATATGTATATATACATATACGTCGACACACAATACATGTACAAGATATACATATATGCATCTAGTAATCGGTCACCGGAGCCCCGACGCCGCCCAGAGCCGCCCAGCTGCCAGCAGCCAAGACGACCGCCCGGAGCGAGAGGCAAGGTCGTATACTACTACTCCTACTACTCCTACTCCTACTCCTACTACTACTACTACTACTACTACTACTACTACTACTACTACTACTACTACTACTACTTCTCCGACTACTACTACTAAACTACTACTATACTACTAATACACTACTAACTACTACTACTACTACTACTACGGCTACGACTACTACTACTACTACTTACCTACTACTACTGCTGCATACTACTAGTACGGTTGTTACTACTAACTAACTACTACTGGCTACAACTGCTTAACTCGTGCTAGTACATTACGAGTCACTAACGAATTCTCTACCGACGGCTACTTTCTACTGCCACTGCTACTGCTATGGTCATTGCAACTTGCGACTTCCTAGTACTACAACTACTAATCTGCTACTAATGCTACTACCTCTACTACTACTACGACTACTACTACTACTACTACTACTACTACTAACGACTACTACTAATACTCTCCTCTACTACTACTACTACTACTACTAGTACTACTAAATACTACTTCATCCGCTACTAGTACTCGTACTAATAATATCGAACTACCTAACTACTACTACTACTACTAGCTTACTAACTACTACTACGAGCTAACTACGAACTAATACTCTTCTACTACTATCTCGAACTCTAACTACTACTCTACTACTACTACTGCTACTACTACTACTACTACACTACTACTACTACTAACTACTACTACTTCTACTACTACTACTACTACTACTACTAAACTGCTACTACTACCTACTACTACTACTACTACTGCTACTACTACTACTACTACTACTACTACTACTACTGCTACTACTACTACTACGACTACGACTACTACTACGACTCCTACTACGAAGGGCCCGAACGACTCGCACGCGGACGAGGTGCCCAAACGCCTCACACCACGAGAAGCCCGACCGACTCACACCAGGACGAGAGGTCCGAACGACTCACACCACGAAGAGCCCGAACGACTCACACCAGGACGAGGGGCCAGAACGACTCACACCAGGACGACGCGCCAGAACGACTCACACCACGAGGAGCCCGAACGACTCACAACACGAGGAGCCCGAACGACTCACACCAGGAGGAGGGGCCCGAACGACTCACACGACGAGGATACCGAACGGCTCACACCAGGAATAGGGCCCCGAAAGACTCACACAAGGACGACGGGGCCGAAGGACTCACACAACGAGGGCCCGCACCGCCGCCTTCGTCGTCGTCGTCGTCGACGTCGTCGTCGTCGTGGTCGTCGTCGTCGCGGTTGTGGTCGTCGCCGTTGCGGTCGACATCGTCGTCGTCGTCGGGTGCGTCGTCGTTGTTCAGATCATCGCTGAGATCGTGATCTCCGCTGAATCCCTCTTGCCTCCCACCGCTTTCTCTCCCTCCTCTTCCGCGTCGTCCTTCTCCCGCTGCCCCCACAAGGAGGATGTACAAGGAGGCGGGAAGAAGGAGGAACAGGGGAGATATGCGGGGCCAAGCGGACACACGCCTGAAAAACACAACTGTCGGCACGCTTCGCAAGAGTTGCTGTTGTGAGATGGGCTGGTGGGGATACGCGAAGCGTAAAGAATTTGCATATATTGTGAACAAGTCCCGCGCGAAAACGCGATTTTGCAATACACAGTGAGGAAGTATCAGGCGGGAGCCGCTGTTGCTGTAGTTCGAGGGGGCAACAACTTAGTCTGACCCGCAAGACCGTCCCTGGAGAAAATTACCCTGGCGACGGACCCAACCCCTGCGCAACACGGGGCATGAGTAGCTTGGGAGACGTTATACGGAGGTGATGACGTGACATGGGCGCATATACTTCTGCAAGCGGCATTCGTTAGGCTCGCAGCCCCCCACGGATTGCGATGTCCCGCTCAGATCTGCCTGGTGCCTCGCTCCGCTGGACCCACCAGCAGCCCTCGAAAGTGGCAACAATTTCGCAAATCGCAACCCCACAAGGACGGCGAGGTCCCGC